AAAGAAAAACAGTAGACATGAGACCTTCAGTTTTTCACTGGAGGCTTCTGCCTGCCTACACATTAATCTGAAAATTATGTATCACAGCAGAAAACGTGTTTTGTACCAGTCCTGTTTATTCACATATTAGTCTGAGTCCAGTCACTCTGTGACATTATATCACTAATTCTAAATCTAAATGAAAATATAATACTAGAGTCTAGACAATTACCCCAAACCCTGGGCACATTAATAATGTGATAAAAGCAATCCAATTTACAAACTGCATTAAGATCACTTTTTTCAGGATCTCTGCCAGTTTTATCTAGCCACTATTATCTAAGAAATACACCTTCAACTTCTGAAAAAGATCAATATCCTTCTTCCCCAGCACAATCAATCTGAGCCCATTTCAATGAGAACAGACTACACAGTCTCCAAGCTGCCCCTTAATGAATAATGAGGGAGGCACAAATCAAACAACTTTTAATGCCACACTACTACAGCAATGGTCAGAGCGTGGACAGCCAGACCTAGGTCACTTCACACTTAACTGACTGCTGCCAATAGCACAGCTCCATTAAAGAGGAAAAGAGGTGACACATACATATCCCAAAGCCTAAGTGCCACTGAGGCAGCTCCAAAGCCAGCAAAGCCTTCTGCACCACATTCTGCATCCAAAACACCTTAAAATGGAATTACAGCATGAGAGCCAGGGTACCTCAAGCTTCTCTGCTGCAAACCCTGTTACCCATTTGTTCTCTGAGCACTTCAGCCTTCAGACAGCTGATGGACACACAGGACAAGCAGTGTAAGTCAAGAGATTCATGAGCTCCAAGAAATTAATAAATTGGGCCAACCGCTTTTTGGCCAAGGAGCTCATAGCAAGCTCAACAGCCAAATTCCCTCACTGGCAGTTCTGCTTATGCCTTGGGCATGCTGGTTTCAACTCTTTAACTGATCCAGGCTTGTAACAATTCCTTACTTGCACTAGGAACTACGCTACTACCTAAAACTCACGGGAGGAATGGCAAAGACAACTTCCAGTCAAACTTCCCAAGTCTAATCAGCTGGGGGGGGTTCTCAGTCTTCCAGTCAAAGACTTTAAGAAACTGATTTTACTGCTTCAATATGATTGCTAAGAACAAGTAATAAACGTGAGTCACCAGAGGGCACTAACGCTTCTACCAAATGGCAAATGCAGCCCTTCAATTAGGGAGGCTGATAATTACATCCACATCATCATGTATATTTTATCTGGATTGAGCTTCAGCCAGCTTGTTCTAATCCATGTTCAAATCTCAACTACATACTGATGAGGCACTGAGCTACATTAACTGTTGTGGTCACACTTGAAATACATGGGACAGACTCACAGTCTCCTCAGACAGACCAGGGAAAATAGGGCAGGCACACGTTCACACGCCAGCTCAAGCTTCCCTTGCCTACGGAATGTATGTGCAGGTTTAAATGCAAATGAATTTCTGAAACAGGCATGGAGAACACACCACAAGTCCTGCATCTCAAAGAAACAGAATAAATAACTATTCTTTGGAGTTTGAATCAAGATCTATCCTATCATAGGGGACCACAAGCAACATCAGCCTGCAGAAGAGAAAAGGGAAAGGTTTCCCCTCCACCATCAAGCAGCAATGGATGTGTTGTTCTCTCAAGTCTGGCATCAAATCAACTGCCATGTTACAGCCTTAATCTATAACACAGGAGGCTGCTCTTTACCACTGAGAAATAGGCAAGTTTTTAAACCACAAATATGATGCTCAGGAGGGGCTGATAAGAGTTTCTTGATATTCTGACCAAGCAGCTCTAGAGCTTCTCAGTGCCTGCCAAAGGTGTGCCTGCAGCACAGCCAGGGAGTTTCTGGGGCAAGAAACCTTGACTTATTGATGCAGTTGATACAAAGAGCCAAAACACACCTAAACAGTGCAGACCTACAGAAATAAGGGCAAAGCCTCCAGGCCCTGCAAGGTACACAGCTCCTTCTTTTCCCAATTTTACCTAAACTGTCATTCTTGTAAGTCAGGACTGTAGGACAACAAAGCCATGGGAAGAGAAAGGCAATCCTATCCTTATGGAAAAGTACACCTTACCACCCAGCTGTTGTTTGTCTGTGCTGAAGTGACTGACGTGTAAAAAGTTACAGTGACAATAAGGCTGGGGTAGGAAGCACTCTGAGAGCAAACTCGGGGGATCTGCACAGGTTCAAGGCAGACACCACCCATGCCACATGACACTCTACAACCCATCTGGAAGCCCATGGGGAGCTCTGAAAACACCAGCTGAGAGCGTACTGGAGTGGCACACCTCAGAACAGTGAGTCCAAGAGAGTAAAGATCAACCTTATATGCAGGTCAGGAACGCTGCACTTTAAAATACTTTGTGGTGACTCACTAGACTTGCCAGTGTTTTATTTGGTGTACTGTAAGATGTACCAAACAGGTTCCTTTTGAAACAAACTCTCCTATAAACTGAAACACAGACTGGGAACAGCCTCCCTTGGCCACAAGCTGCTTCAATGCCCATCATTTGTGCCATTCTAACTCCTGAGTCACAGCCAGCAGCTCCAGTGTTCACAACACACCATGATGCATGATACACCCTCCCTGTTTAGGACTTTGGGCCACCCTCTCCCTGCTCCCCACTTCTCCTGACAGTTCCTCCTGACTGCAGAGTCAGCACTGGGAGCCCTGCCACACTTCACTCCAGTTCCCATCTCGGATGGCCCCTTCCTGCTGGGCAGAAGCCCAGGTGGGACCAGTTTGCCCACAGCTAGGACTCCAGTGCCATTCTCCCTAGGATCCTACAAGGCTTTTACAGATCTCTGTAAAACAAAGAGAGATGCAGTCACACATCCACACATTCCAGGGGACTGAGCATACAGAGAATCTACTTAAAACGCCCAACTGCAACATTAAGACTCACTCACTTCAGCAGTCTTTTAAGGTGATTAATTCATAAACAGACCAAACACAAAGCCCACAAAGCTTCTGTTCATGCAGTAACTATGACACATACACTTATATTAAAAGATGATTCCTACTGCAGCAGTTCCAGGTATTTAAATGCAAAGATTTTTAACAGAAATCTTCCATTATTTTGAAAATACATTTTTAAGTCTGTTTTCTAACAAGAGCTGTAAACCAATACTTAGAAGAGAAACATATCATGCTTTTGGTGGCTTATACTTTGAAAAAATGCAACCAATTACACTCCCCACCCCTAAAGGATATTTTCAAGTCAGCTTCAGTTACTGAATGAAAGGAGGAGCTCAAATGACTCAGCTTCAACCAATATAAAGGAAAAGATTAATCCATATCTCAATGCAAAAAAAAAAAAAAATCGTGGAACAAACTGATTAAGGTGGAGGTGTGGCTTGTCAATTCAAATCTTTTAATATTCAAACACATCAAGCAGAACATTAGCACACTATGACTGCATTACTTTTCTGTACAAAAGAAATTTTGTCAATTTCAGACAATTTCAAAAATAACAGTCATTCAAAAATCACAATCAATTTCAAAAATCAAAGTTTACACAAGTTAAAGTTAGCCCTGTGTCTTCATTCTTGTTCCTTAGTGCTGAGCAGCATAAAGATCAATAAAACATCTAAACACTAGCATTTTTAATCTACAGTCACAAGGCAAGATAGAATTGTAAAAAGGAAAAGACAGCTCCAAAATTCTGCAGGAAAATGCCCACATTTCTACAGAAAAAAAAAACCAAAAAAAACAAAAAAAACCCACCCCAACCAAAACCCACTGGTGAGTAAACAGGATAACCTCATGAAGGGGGTTTTCTTGGTGGGGGTGAGGGCATTGTCTCCATTGGACTGAGTTAAACATTTCTTATTAAAAGGCAGCAAAACAAGTTACAAGGTAGAATATTTCACAAGGGGGCTCCCAGACACCAAGGGACTGCTGTATATGCTCCAAAGGAATTCCCAAGTGCTTGTCCCCCATCTCAGCCAAGCCACACGAGCATCCCAGGGCAGAACACACCCCCAGCTGCGCTGGGAGGAATGTTTCATTCCAGACTAGCCGGAGTGCTCCTTTACATGCAGCTCAAACTCCAAGCACAGATGTCACCAGAGGGCACCCTCTCAATTCCAGTGACCCAGCTTTAGCAACTTCTGAGCAGGACTGCAGACAGCCCACGAGCAGGGATGCGCAGAGGCTGTGGAGCAGGAATAATTCTGCTTCTGCAAGGAATTTCCTTTAAAAAAAAGCCCTCCATCTAAATTAAAAATAATTTTTTTTAAAATTACTTATGTAGCCCAGAAATGTAAAATATTTTCCAGAGTAAGCAGAGACATTGCTAGAAAAAAATCACTATTATCAACTTCTGTACAACATCATGCTGTGGCACTTGATGGTGCCAACTCAGTCCAGCTGTTTTGGCACCCATGTGGATCATATCAGCTCCCAAAAGCAGGGTCCAAGGCAGTACAGCTCATGCAGAGGTGCCTGTGGACATCCTCTGGCTCTGCTACACCTTACAATAACACACAAAAAAAATGCATGAGTAGTTCTCATGCCTTGGCCCATGTATTATTTCTAATGCCCTGTTGAGAGTTAATAATGTTTTAAAACGAACACCTGATAAGTTGAAGTTCATTAAATAAAATTATGCACAACCAGTAAAACATGCAATAGGTCTCTATATCAAAAAGGGTCTCAAACCACCAGCTGGCATGAATAGAATGTTATACCCATTATTTGTTTAGAAATAAACACCACCATAGTATAACTAAAATGAAATCAACTGCAGAAGCAAGCAGTGATAAGAGAAAAATAGGAAATAATCATTGTGCATCCCATATTTTCCAATACTGAGAAAACCTAGAAAGCTGTAGGCCTATCATACATCTGATTGCCTGGTTATCTACCGATCCCATTTGAAAAGAAATAGTCTCCACCTCTTCTAGCTATCTGTGATTGCAAAGCTCTTTAATTCAGCAGAGGCACAGAAGGAGGGGTGCAGGAATAAGGCCCGTGCAAAAGCACCTTTTTTCAGTAGAGGGATCTCTCCAATAGTGTCAGTATAGGAAACCTGCAAAGAGAGATACACATCCACAGCATTTCACCAGGCCTGCAGCTACTATTAAACCCCCAGGGCAAGCTACTCCAAAATATTACCTGTCATCACCACCCATCGTGGTTTGAAATATATCTACAGAACTGTCTTTCCAGCATCTGCTGCCAGGAAAGAAATAATGCTAAACATGCCTCATGTCTAATAAACAGCATCTATTTGTCCATCCTCTAAAGCAGATTCCCATCTACTGGAAGGTAACATGCTCTGAAATTACCCTGGTTCACATGACAGTGGAGCGAGGTGGTGCTCATCCCCTGCTTACAGACACTGTCCGTGTTGTCTCTCGTATCCTCATCCCTGGGCACTGCCCTGTCACTGGTGTCCCCAGCCCTGGGCACTGCCCTGTCACTTCTGTTTCCCCATCCTTGAGCACTGCCCTGTCACTGGTGTCCCCAACCCTTCGTGCTGCCCTATCACTTGTGTTTCCCCATCCCTGGGCACTGCCCTGCCCCTCGCGTCCCCATCCCTGGGCACTGCCCTGTCCCTCGTGTCCCCATCCCTGGGCACTGCCCTGTCCCTCGTGTCCCCATCCCTGGGCACTGCCCTGCCCCTCGTGTCCCCATCCCTGGGCACTGCCCTGCCCCTCGTGTCCCTATCCCTGGGCACTGCCCTGCCCCTCGTGTCCCCATCCCTGCGCGCTGCCCTGCCCCTCGTGCCCCGGTGGCGGGGCCCATCCCTGGGGCAGGACCGATGGATAGCGGTATCTCCCCGCCACAGCCACAGCCCCCGCTCCGCCCCGGCCGCCCTCCGGCCCCCGCGGTGCCCCAGGCGCGGACGCGGCTCTGCCCCTCCCCACGCACCAACACCCCCGTCCCCGAGGGCTCCACAGACAGCAAGGGTGGGGTGTCCACGTTATAACCCACTCTTCAGCCCCGCAAGCAGGCACTGGGAGGGCGAACAGCTCTCCCCAAGCCCCGCAACCCTCCGTCCCGCAGCCAGGCTGGTGCCCCGCCGCGTACACACCGGCGAGAGGGGGCTCCGCTCCTCGACACCCCCGTGTGAGGAGGAGGGGGGGGTGGGAAGAGAAGGAGGAGAGGGCGGCAGGTGGGCGGCGGAGCCCCGGGGGGGCCAGGACCCTCCCCGGATCTGGGAGGGGACGGAGCGCCTCCAATCCCCGGCCGGCAACAGCCCTGCAAGGCCCGGCGTGCGAGCCGGGGTGAAGCCTCCTTTCTTCTCTCCTCCTCCTCCTCTGAGGAGCCGGACAATGAGCCCCGCGGAGGCGGGCGCCGGCTCCCTCCTCCTTCTCCTCCTTCTCCCCGCCGCGACAGCGCAGCTCACCTGCGAGAGGGGGGATGGATGACGGCGGGGCGGCCGCTCGGAGGTGCTGCCGGAGGGGCTGCGGTGTCTGCGCGGGTCCCTGCGCGCCGCCGGCTCCGCAGGCGCGGGGCGGCCGCGGCCACACTGCCCCACACACTCACTCACTCACACACACACTCACACACACACACACGGCGTGGGGGGGGCGCCCGCCCCGCCCGCGCATGCGCGCAGAGACCCCCCCACCCGGCCCGCCTCCTCCCGGCGCCGCGCGCGGGCTGCGCACGCGCCGCCTCAGCGCCGCCCGTGCCGCCCCCAGCCGGCGCTGCGGGCGGGGAGGTGTGAGCTCGCTCCCTCACGGGATCGGTGGGGATGGGAAAGAGCAGCGGGGCCGCGGTGTCAAACCACGCCAGGTACTCGATGCCACGTCCCGAAACACCTGCAGGGACGGTGGCTCCGCCGTCTCCCTGGGCAACCCGTTCCAGCGTCTGATTACAGAATCCTAGTATTGTTGAGGTTGGAAGGGACCTCTGCATATTATCCAGGCACGGTCACCTGGAGCAGGTGACATAGGAACGCGTCCAGGCGGGTTTGGAATGTCTCCTAGAAGGGAGGCTCCACGCCCTCCCTGGGCAGCTGTTCAGTGGTCTGCCACCCTCACGGCAAAGTTCATTTACATCGACATCGTCACCATTTCTGTGAGGGAACTCCTGCTGCTGTCCAGCCCAAACCTCCCCTGGCGCAGCTCAGCACCACTCCCCCTTGTCCTGTCCCTTGTGCCCTGGGAGCAGAGCCCGACCCCACCTGGCCCCACCCTCCTGTCAGGGCCCTGTGGAGACGAGAAGATCCCTCCTGAAACTCCTGTGATCCAGGCTGAGCTCTCCGTGAGGCCTCGCTCCCTAACGAGTGACAATGGGGGCAAGGAAAGCAACTAGCCCCAAAACAAAAACTATTACATTGACAAGAGCTCTGTTCTGAAGGGTTGCAGTGCAATGACTTTTATTATTTCCTTCTCTGCTCCCACAGTCGTCAGGGAATAATCAGTTTATGGGGGGAAAGCAAGGCCTTCAAGGTTGTTGGCACCACTTCTGGAGTGAAAGCCCTCAGAAAAGCACAAAGTTTTGCAAGAGTTGCTCTACAGTCACCAGAGGTGCAGTGCTGCCGTCGTGGGGACAGGAGCTGGCATCGCCACCTTCCCATGCACAGCCCCAGCCAAGCAGCCTCCAGCCCCAGTGAGTTATTGCAATAATTAATAGCTACCATTTATACGTATTCTGAATGCTTTGAAAGCAATGCCTAATCTCATTAAATTGTGAATTGACTTGTTTTCATCCTGTCGTGGAGTTAAGACAGTCCCTGCTTCCTTCACATCCATGGGAGATGGAGTTGGTAATTTGTTCCTATGCTGGAACTGCTGCCATTGGCTCTGTGGCCACCTGCTATGGGTTTTAATGAAATATAGAGCCACCTGCTATGCAGAATGATTGATTTTTATTAGACTTGCAGACTGGTGAGAATACAGGTACTATGATACAGATTAAAAAAGTCCAGCAGGCTGGAAAGAGGGTACCAGCTTTTAAATCTGTGACAGAGGAATAAGGCAGGCAGGATTTGTGAAACTACAGGCACAAATTTGACAATAAGCAAAAAACAACATTACTTTTAGGTACAGTGCCATTTCCCCAATTTTAATAAAGGTTTGTGCCTAGAAAGAGAATACTATTTCCTCTTGTTTTGGGTTTTTTTTTTTTTTCTTTTTTGCCATGGTAGTCTAGCACAGTATCAGGTTCATTCTGAACCAGAATAAATGAAAGGAAAATAAAATGCCAAATGTCATCCTGCTGCAAGGTTTTCAACAGGTGAGTCAGTGGATGCAAAGAATATTTCACCACATTTGGAAACACAACAATTTGTAATGTAGAAATAAGAAAATATTACAAAATCATAGATTCGTTAGGGTTGTAAAAGAGCTCTAAAATAATCGACAAATAAGAGAAAAGAAGAAGTAGTAAAAACACCTCAGAAGGGGGAAGCAATGGGATATTTTTTGTAAGCTATTCTCCTTCACTAAAGCAGGAGACAAACTACTTTATCTTGTAAAACAAGCTTAGGGGTGTATATATGGATTAGGTGACAAATTTTCAAAGATATTTTACAATCATCTCATTAAATGCTTCCAGAAAAACTGCCTAATGGAATGTGAGGAAAAAAGCAATGTCACAGACCCAAAAATAACAGAGATTGAACATGAAGTCATTCATAATCGCGGTGAAAATCCAAAAGAGTAAGGTGTTTTCAATTTTGTTGTAAATACCCTTAAAATAATCTAGAAGAAAAGTGGTACAGAAGGAGACAAGAAATGCTCAGGCATCCTAGGGGGTGCTTCAGTAGAAATCTCTCCTCAGTTTATGAACACAGCCATGCACAAAACACATCAAGAGATAAAACAAGAAAACAAGAAAATGTTGTCTGTCTTGCCATTGTTTCATATTAAAAAGTTTTACAGAATGAGCAGGGAGGAGAATATACATTAGACTGTGAAACTGAAATGCCCAATTCCACTCAAGTTTTACACCAGAGCCCCACATTTAGCTGCTTTTCACCTACAATTCCAGAATTTTTTTCCAAGAAACCACCTTACAATACTCACTTGCCAACTCTATACACACAGCCGATGTTCCTTATTATTTTACAAGTACAGATCTCCCCCATTTCCCTAAATATTCAATTTAAAATACATTATTAGTTGAATGTTTCAGCTGTGCTGTTAGATACTCAAATCACAAGAAGTAGTGAAAAGAGGAAATGACTAGATGAAAATATGTGGCAAAATAGTCAATTGTAATGAAGAAAGCTGCTGTCAAAAATAGCAGGAAACCACTGTCCCTTGTGACTGGCAGCTTGTGAGGGAATGGGTGCAGAGGCCAAACCTGAACCAACACAGCCATGGGAATTGCTGTGACTGAGCACAGATGAAACTCTTTACAGCCCACAGGACACCACAGTTGCCATCACCAGCTTTCACTCGAGAGAGCAAATTTAGGGATGGTATTTGTCTGGCCAGCTTGCAGTATTCTTCTGAATAATTTATTTACTATGGATCTCAGAGGTTCTTTTTTTTGGCCATACGTATCCTAGATTTTATCAGGAATTATTATTTTTATAATTCACTGCCCAACAAGATGCATCTCCCTACAAGACTCTAACCAGCTTCACTGTATCCAACCCTTCCAAATTAGAGAGGATATAACATTTCCTTTTGAAAACAACTTCTTGCATCTTCAACATCATCTACCAATTGAGAGGAATAAATTTATCTGTGTATTTTTAATTTCACACATGAAAACCATTTTTCCATTAGGCAGCACTAAAGGTGTGTGCTTCCACACACCAGCTGCAATGTGCCTGCAGGAGTGGCTGTAATGAAATGTTGACATTGCAATCCAGGGCACTTGTTGATGTAAATTTTAAGTCTATAAAAATGCCAGCAGAGTAGAGTTTATTATACTTTTTCATAAACAGAAGGTAGCATAAGCAATTTAGAATAGAACATTCCTAATGTAAGTTACTTTAATATAATCAGCTTTACTTGTGTAGATTACAATGCAGATTATTCTACACCATTTAAGAAAAAAGGAGAAATAGTACTTTGAGTGGACATACCATGCTCTGGGATTAAAACTATACATTCATATAAAATCAAATTAATTTTTCTGCCTTTCATCCAAGCTTCCTCAGTATTGCAGAAAAGTACTCAGGAAGTACCTTTTTAATCTTGTAACAAATGATTTGAAATAGTATATCTTACATTTTGGTACCTAGTTCATTAATTACTAATTGCTTGGCATTAAGTAAAGTTCTTTTATCATTGCCTGAATCTAGAAACAGTTACTATCATAAAAAGTCATCAGTTAAAATCAATTTGATGTAAGATGTCCCAGCTGGATGTCTGCTAAAGTATTTAGTTCCCTAAGGAATGAGAATATAGTAGAAGATACTTTATTTACATAACCGGTGTATGTTATTTTCTATTCTTACTCTTTGACTAAGTTATTCCGTGAGTCTGACTGCACTTAATTCACACAAGTACATCAGGGTGAGAAACACTAAAGAAATGCAAAATACTGCTAAATTTACTTGTCAACTTATGAAAAGAAAATAGTATAATTTTTTGTTGAAACTGTGTAATCATTTCTCACAATTGCAGCACAGTTCTGGTATCTGCCACTGTAATCTGTTATTTCCTGATTTTAGAGTGCTTACCTATACAGGTCCTTTATAAATGCAGTGCCATTAATATTAATTGTGCAATTAATATCCAGATTCTAGTAAGGTGCACAATCTGTGACATTTACACCTACATACTCCTACTTTTTGATCTGTGATCCTCTGTGATGTGCTTGCCTTCATTACAGGGAAAAGAGGAGTCAGACTTGGATAAATATAACATTGCTGTAACTATCACCCTCTTTCCTTTTGGAGGATGTTTTTGCTTAATACATAATGCACATATATTAGCTTCTACTCCTTAATGAGGAGGATGAGCTTCCTGCTTCAATCATAACCAAATGAAATTTTCAGTCCATTCAGTTAAATTTGAAACCAAGCATAAAAAAAAAAAATTAATTGATAAAAATATCTGTACCAAAGAAATCTGGTTCAAATAGACACTGGACACCCTATGTGTTTAGAGTTTAGAGCTGGAGGAGAACAATATTACTAAGAATGCTATGCTGGAGAGTAGATGGATGTTTCACAGCTCCTCTCACTCACTGCATTCAACTGATGTGCTAATATTTGCTCCCAAAGGTGTTGTGATTAACGCTAGAACACCTCCTCAGGCTTACACCTCTGCTTGTTTCTCATTTCCGGCAACGATGAAATCAGGAGCTGCAATTAGAACAGCACAAGAGCACTCTGAACCAGCTTGGGGTTTTTCTTAATATTTTAAAAATCACAACTTTAAAAAGAGTGTAGCCAAGCAGCAGCTTCTGAACTCGCCCAAGCATACATGTAAATATATATATATTTACATGTAAAGTGAGTATATACATGCACAGCCGCACAGGACTTCCTCTACATCTACAAAACATTGTTTTCCCAAGGTCAGCAAAGGCTCTTCCACACGTCTCAGCAGCGAGGAAGCTGCCCACGGATAACACGTATTTCCTCACTGTCTCTCACACAACCTATGGATTTTTCCACAGAAAGAGAAGGCTGTTCTT